AACGCATAGGACCTTTTTTTCTTGTGCCGGAGGGAGTGAAAAGTCCATGCAAAATGTCAATATAATTTGGTATTTGGTTATTTTTTATACTAAACACATTTTCCGATCAAAGAGTATATTTTTTTATATATAACATATATGTTATTGCCTGTTTTACATTTTACATTTATTATATATTTCCAATGTCGAAATGACGAAATCCATTTCAACACAGCAACATTCTTTCAATTAAAAGGAGTTTAATTATTATTTTACTTCGCAGAAACCGCCGGTAAAATCGTTTTCGACATTCCGTTCCAGTAAAATTACAAAATTTCTCGTCGCTACATACTCGCATTGCTAGCTGCTTCACTCGAATCACATCTATTGAGAAGTCGACGAACCGTTTGTGTCACATGTTTTTATTATATACGTCTAAATGGAGTACTTCTGTCTCCTCTATACAGTTAGTAATGTCATATATCCGACATTTATCATTTTCATAGCTTATATACGTCTTTTATTGCATCGATACCGCTTAACGCAAATGAGAACAATACTATCCAAAGTTTCTAACGAAAGGTCGCAGAGCCCGTGAATTACGAACTGGCGGTGTCCATGTTACATCAGATATCTATATTCTATATGTATATAATATAATCGAATGTGTTCTGACTGAAGATTGATCAGTGTATAGAGTTTAAACTATATGATAAAGCTATATGGGGACTTTAAATTTTTACGGTACCTTCGTACCACCATGTATAGTGATGCAATATAAGAAAGGATTTGCCAAAATTCGCATTTTAAAGAGGTGCTCATATATACAGTCACACAAGGACTTTGAGACCCACGATGGAAAACGAAATTTTTTTGCTTGTGAATTGGTTACAGATTATAATAAGTAGTGATAGTAGAAATTAGTATTTTAATTTTATATATAAGTATAACTAATATTTGCCACTGGTTACATAAAATAAATTTGTTACTAAGCGATTATATGGTTGGATATAATTTTAACCTGTATTTGATATTTATAAATATATTATAGAAGCTATTATTTTTAGTCGTGTGCGTTAAAATCATAACCAGGTATATGTGGATATTTCTACTAACAATTGGTTACCCCTAAGAAATAAATAAGTTACTTATTACTATTTGCTGATTTCAAATTAATCGTATTAATTTTTGAACACCATTACACCGAGTACTAAATAACGAATTGAAAAAAGTCTGAATCGCGTAATAGTTGGCATTTTTACGGGGTATAACGAAGTGCACAGTGTCAGACGAAATGTATAATATGGTATGTAAAGTACTATAATATTATAGTGTATATAATATATATATATATTATATTATATACACTACATACCTACTATATACTGTTCGTTATTAAATACTCGTTTAATAATAAATAGGTTCACAAAACATAATCGCACGGTATAATGTATCATATATTATGCGCGTAAACTCGATGTCAGCGATCGGTGGCGCCGTTTGTGCGACGAAATTTTTTTCCAACACGCTCGTGTGCAATGTCGTGTGTAATATTGTCCTGCAGAGCAATAGATTTTGACGTACGTCGATCACAGGGGCACTGATTTGTACCCTACGGATTATATATAGGTAACGTCAAACGTGAAATTCCGCTACGTCGTACTTTCAAAAACCGCGAGTACGGCGTATGTGTATATTTTGATTTGTGTACAAATAAAATTTAATATTATATATTTGTACATGACGAATACTAGACACGGCTCGGAAAGAAATTATTTAAATGTAAATAATCATATCTTTCCCATTATAATACACCGATAATACCTATAATAATGTTACATGTAGGTATAGGTTAAAATTGCCAATTGGCTTTAAGTTATAAATTATAATATTTTGTGGTATAGTTAATTATCACTCATACACTCGTTGTAATTTATATATGCCGTGGATTAGAGTTTAAACGAAGTATTTACTATGGTTATAATTTATAATTATTTATTATATTATGAATAATGTGTAAAACGTTTTAAAACAAAATTAACATAATATAGATTATGAAACACACATTAATATTTAAAATGTACTCTTTCGTATACATTTTGCGTGTTTGTAAATACCTATTTACAGCATTTCCTAACGATTGTACAAAAATAATCAAAATGGAATATTGTAATGACTAGGGGTGGTATTATAAGGGATCATTTTGTAATCAAATTTATTTAAATTATTCTTGTTAGTTAAAAACTTCTTTTTTATAAATTTAATGTAACCGAGAAAAATTCACCAAATAACATTTAAATTAAATTTCAAAAACACACATAATAATATATTTGTGTATATCATAATACACAAATGTGATAACATTTTGGACGTTTTTCAATCCGTTGCCGTTCAAATGCGTTGCCTTTGATGCGTACCTAACTTATGTCTCTGTAATTAATATTGCAGATACGGTTGGGTTTTATAAACAAGTTTAGGTATAACAATTTACAGGTTAGGGTAAGTATTGTGCAATCGGTTCACCCCGTGTGGCGATACCACGACGAAAAAAAATGAACAGGTAGGTAACAACAACTGTATACATATATACCATAATACCATATGGACGAATCGAAAGAGTCCCTCAGTTTAACCGAAAGGAATTTTATAGAATGTACATCTGAATTATTAAACATAATATTATATAATGGTATATTACTATAACAATAACAGACTTGCCCACTTTAAGGTTTGGTTTTTTTTTCGATTGATTCAATGTGCATTGCTCTCCAGGAAATCGGATCACTGGACAACTGTACACACAATTGTACTTATGAAACATGGAATTCGTTATTTTACGGCAGGTTTACAATAATATTATATACATAGAAACTAAATATTATATAGTATTAAAATATTAAAGTGTGATACTCAAGTAATTGTCGGATTTGTGCATCATCATTTGCATAATGCATATACTGCAGCAGTGCAGCAGATAATACAGACTTGACACAATAATATTATATAAATGTAATATAATATGCATCGTATCAAGTTATATTAAAATTATTAAACTATTATAATGGAGTTTACCTATAATATATCCATTGCAAGGTCGCCAGCTTCAAACGAATATAGATACCTACGTGTATAATGTATATATCATATTATGAATAATAACATTGTATTACTCTGGTCTACTTCTGTCTTACTTGCTGGTCTATACCCATTACTTATATAGTTATATGTAAATGGAGGTACTTACATCATTGTACCAAACAATTATTATTGTCGACTCGACATGTACTACAAATATAAATTATAATATTGTATTACCTTTAATTATTTATTCTTTAAAATTTAAATGTAACAGCAAGTATTTATAAAATGTGTTTGTGTACCTTATCGGCAGTCCTGTAAAGTATTTGAGTAAAAGTATTTGAGTAAAAGTATTCAAATACTTTTTTAAGTATTGAATAACTTTTTAAATACTTTCAGCATGAAGTATTTTGAATGGTATTTTAAATACTTTTTTTTGTATTAAATACTTTTTGGTATTGAATACTTTGGTTTTTTATTTCGAACATTTTATTTTTATTCGAAATAATTTTAGAAATTTTAGAATAAATTAAGAATACAAAATAGGTAGTATCACCTATGGGCAGTCCTGTAAAGAATACTTTTGAAAAGTACTTGAGTAAGTACTCAAATACATTTTTTTTTAAGTATTTAAGATACTACTCAAATACTTTAATTGTATAGTATTTAAAATACTACTCAAATACTTTGAAAAAGTATTTGGAATACTTTTCAAATACTTTTGGTTTTTAAAGTGGGTTTCTAATTATTGTAATATAGACACATAGGTAGTAAATTTATAATCATTTCTATTTATTATTTATTAAATAAATGTTTATTACATTTTTTTTTTTATATATATATGAAATTTACAATCTGTTCTTAACTAGAACAATAAGCAAATGTGCATAGGGTATTTGCGTATGATTGATATTTTGAGGGAAGAAACCACCCATTGCCTATCGGCCACGCTTGATTCTACTGCAGGAGCATCCATTCGAGCAGGATAATGTTATACTATAGTATTAGATTTAAATATTTATTATCTTTTATCAATTTTCTATAATGTGCCGCAGATACGTTGATCGGATATTCAGGTGTCGTACCTATATTATATTTTGACATCGTGTCCGATAAAGACTTGCGTGCAAGCTGCATGGAGCGGAACTGCTGGTGGTTATGGAGTGAGCCTATCGTTACGACTCACGATATTATAAATATAAATATCTTGTCGTCATAAAATACTTATAGATTTATATATTGTTATTATGACGTACACAGCTGCTCGTTAAACAAATACTGCACTTCTCCCACCCCGCGGTAAACGATAACCATTCGGGGGTCTCTTTTTTTCGTTCCGTCTAGCTGATAACCCGCGATGGACGGTGGCGCGACACACACTTGTCACAAAGCCAAGATCGCGTCATTACTGTATCATATCATAAGGTGTTATAATGAACAATAAAGACGACACGTAATGCATATAACAATATAATGTATAAAATATGACATGGGATTTTCGGATGATATATTATTATCGTATGATAGTGGCACAGCCCTAGATCACGTGAACCACCCCTCGTGCCACCCGTCTTCCGATAACGGCAAAATATACAAATCCGCGTTAATCCAATTGCAAGCCAATCGTATCGACGGTGCAACGTATCGTAAAATATCGCGAATTATGATAGATATAATACTATTAAACCGTTGTAATATATTATACCTACGCGGAACAATAAAAATCTCAATAATTAGACCACGTGCACAATATTAGACTCTACTACTCTAGTCCGCACTAGACCACTCGACCAACACCGCCACCACCACCACCACCGCCACCCCGCTGAACGACTCCCCACGAACCCCCTCCCCACAAACGCAAGTCTCCCCTCGACCCCTTGACGCTGCCGCGGCACCAACAACCCCACAGCGGCGGGTCGGTAGCGGCGCGCTGGCGTTCCATGTACCGCGGTGGAAAGGGAAACGGATCGTGCGCCGCCGCGGCTTATATATATACGGCCGGCCGGCGAGCACCGCGTTCAGTTATCGCACGCCCGCCGCCGGTTCAATTATCCGTCCCGTCGTCCCGCGTACAACCACCGCTGAAGCAACCATCAGAACAGTATAGTAATTATTGGTCTGTCGGTGTAAAGAAAAAAATTCGTCGCTTTAAATTTCTTTTTTTCCGATTTCGAGTCGCGTACCCGAGACAACGATATCCTTCCGAGTGCAATACTATTAAACAGATCTCGTCGACATATTCGTCATCGTCAGTCGTCACCGCCACCACCGGTAACTGAACACGGCGATTTCGGTCACCGCGACGAGTAACACATTCCGATTCCGTACCCCGGAAACATATGCACAGAAGATGTGAGTATAACAATATTATGTACGATTGATTTTTATTACGTATTATTATTATCGTTGCTTGTTGTCAAAACCCTCGATACACGGCATTACAGCAAAATAGAACGTATAGATCGATGATTGGCCGTCAGGGGGTGTCTTTGGACTGGCGAAGCGTATTTTTAGCGCGCTCTTTACGGCGAGGACGATTATAATAATATATTTTCGACACGTTTTTTCCTACGGACCATAACCTTTTTTTTTTATTTAATGCTATGCACTCGGATAATAATATAATGTGTAATCATGTCGTCGCAGTCGCCGCGCCGCAGCCGCTGTCTCGCAAAGTCTATTTTTAAACAACTGTTGCGTAATCCTTGAGCGTATGATACGGAACGCTATCAAAAAATCAGTATATCGAAGACAGCGCTCCGGGAGATCATTTCGGACCGTAGATCTTCCCATATAGACTTTGCCCGATGAATTCCCCGTGTCCGCGGTGCGTTTATATAGGTATACTTTTATGAGTACTCAGGTATTAAAATTATTATTGTGCTTAGGCGAAATTCATGAAAGTCGTTCGGCCGCGAATCGCCATTCGTTTCGACTTCGGTGATAACGAAAAGTATAGGAAGTAGTATTAATACAATTTCAATACATTAATGTAGGAGATTAAACGTGTGATAACGCAATACCGTCTACGAGGATAATAATTACTTTATTGTAAACGGGTAAAATTCCCGCCATTCGACTGTGTATGCATCAAAGGGGGGAAACAAGATGAATGGGTTCTCTTTCTGAAATTTGGGGGAGGTCGGTCGCTCGGTTCGGTATATATTATCGAACCCTAACTTCCAAGGTCGGACCACCCCCTACGGACGTTAACAAAAGGACGTGTCGAAACACGTCCTTTTTACCAAGAAACAAGGCACAATAGAAGTACTATTATTATTTTCAAATTTCGTTCCGAATACGCCGCATCGAACGCACGCTGCTACTTTACTGTGCGTACACGATATTCGTTGGCCGGGAGCGCATGTAGGTCGGATCGCATATGAAAATAACCCGAGATGAATCATCCGATCAAGATGTTCGACGAAACCAGAAACACGGTTATTCTGGAATTTCACGGATCAAAGTCCACACGTGGTATATTATTATGACGGCGCACTTGGGTTTTTCTCGTCTCTTTTTGTCAAACAAATCCACTGTTTATTTCCCGATTTCATACTCGGACGCCGCTAAATCTAGTACCGACAATATAACTCTTCATACCATCAACTATACCGTTTTGACGACATTTCACATTTTCGAAGTTTTCTTCGGCTACTTTGTAGGTACACCTTATCGACGACAATCATAATTTCCTTAATGCATTGGTGCACCCTTTCACGCTGTAATAACTGTTAGGGTTAGAGGACTCGTCATAGTCGTTTCAAATACTTACACATTTTACGGTGACGATGGGCGTGATTCGAGAGGCGCCTGGACTTACATACTTATTACATAAATGTAATCGCCAATCGGACATAAAAACCGAAATTTATTCAGCGCCTAGACCTACCTACCAAAATATCTACCTCATATTACCAGTATTATTATGTATAATGTAATATAGAAGATAACGATATTAGGAATTCTCCTGGCCCGTCCATTATAATTTACAATGTATATATATTAATATATTATATTATTATTATAATGGCGTTCAGTCGACGTTTTTATTTGCTTTCCAAAATCCATTAGAAGTTTTCCTAACCGGTTTTTCGGCCGCCGCACCGTGTCCACACATAATAACCCAATATAACCACTTACGCACACACGCGCACACATGCACATGCACACACATTTCGATTGTCGACTGTGGGTCCTGCTTGTTTAAACCTGCACACGCACGTTACCGTACACCTATACAAGTCAAACAATACCGATAAGCTACTCACTTGGCTGTAGTAGTCACGAACGAGTCACGTGAGCCGTCGCCAGTACTTACGCCCGACCACTACGCAGTACGCCGGTCGGAAAATCGGGAGGTTGTCCTACAATAATGCTGTCTTCGTCGTCGTCGTCGCGCATACGACTGTTAAGTCGATATGAACCACGAAATCCGTCGTTAACGTGCTGATAGTTCGCTCCGGTAACGGACCAATGAGAGCGACGAGACGAGTCAACGCGTGGAAGTAGAAAAAACTCGTTTCTGTTACCGAGACCCTCGCCTCCCCCATTCACACCCTGGCCGAATTTTAACGCGGTCTTATAACAATATACATACATATTACTATTACATAGATTTTACGCAACAGCACGTAAAACTTTCGTTAAAGTGATTCGAAAATATTTTCAAAAAAAAAAAAAATACAAAATCGAACCGCGGATGGATACGTCGACTTTCCACACAAGTCGTATCCCCGCCATGGCCCCTCTTAATAACTAACGTCGCAGATATACCTGTACGGGCAAGTTTGACCTCCGCTCCGTGAAGAGAAGTCGTTCCAGGTGAAAGTGCCCCCTCCCACCACCGGTGCCCCCTTTAGGCGACCGGCAAGGCGGGGACACTTTTAACACAAACTTCAAAATTCCCCAAGAATGCAACCGTCCAGCACCGCACATTTCGGACAAAACTTCTGGATACGACTTTCGATATATTCTTGCAGCGGTCCTTCTCCCCTATTAACAATACCGTATGCACTCAAAACGCGCGCGAAACCACATTTGTGACAATATTAATATTATAAGAATAACACTGCTCAGAATAAATCGAGGAATAAATAATATTATTACGGTCGAGTACGGTAGGTATAATATTATGTAGTTTACAAACCGGTCGTGTCTTAATAATATTATTAAATCGTGCGTACGTACATTTATACCTACGTATTACTTATTATAATATTATTCCTCCTGCCCGTCTATAATATAGGTATATGTAATATATTTATATATTGCATGCCCCATTCAAGGTCGATCGTGTTTTCAAAACAATTGTAAAGTGGGGTGATAAAAAAAATTGTCCAAATTTTCGTCACGCAAGACGGCATGCGAGTTTACCTCGGCGTTATACCTGCAGCTGTAAAATAAATTCTCGACTAACCTAAAAACGATGCAGCCGCTTACCTCTCGCGCCTGCACACGACGGACATTTCATCGTTTCGAATTTCGCCGTTGCGTAGTAACACCCTCTCGTGGCCAGTGTTCGATTTCGGTGCATGCCAACGTGTAACAAACGCACCATAAAATAAAAATTTTTAAAATTGGTATTAATTTGTTGTATCAATTACAAAAGTATTCTACAATTTCCTATACTATAATCTCTGACCGTAAACTGCGCCAACATAAATAGACAAGCCGACCGAAAACAATAATATAACGATCGATTGCGGCGAACGAATACTAAGCACTAAATAGTATAAACATTAACCAACAATATCATACTGTACCTCCTAGGTACCTATAATATTATTATGCCCACAGAGGTCTGCAGCTCGTAGATCCGGCGGTCGACGCTTGAACAACAGGCGAGTGATGTTTACGTTGTAATTTTATTATGACTACGAGACAGAAAGTGCGTCTCACGACGGACCTACTTTTGTCGTCCGGAGAAAAAAAACAATAACGTCGACAAAATATAAGTCGTGAGAATGTCGGTTTCCGTTTGTGCGTTACGAGCAGGGATGGGCGAAATACTTTTAAAATTGTATTCAAATACTAAACATAAAATACACAAAACAAAAAATTACTTGTGGGTTATTTTTATTACGTAAAGGAGCTTAAGTACTCGTGAATAAATCGACATCACGTTTTTGACGAGTTCGCGGTGTTGTGTCGATCCCGTGGTCTGAAGTCGATCGCCAGCCAAATGTGGAGTACTACGTAAGCCCGCGCAACCGCGTGCGATAAAACGAGTACTTGTACAAGTACTCGAAACGGATTTTTTTTTGGTTTAAAACCTTTGAGGATTCAAACTATCGCCGGATATAATATGGTGACTAGTGAGTTCTAAGTTGTTATAAAACAGTAAAACATATAATCCGTGCCGAGTCATTACATTACCGAGCACCGCTTTTTCGTATATTAAAATAATCGCAACGAGTTTGCCCGACTAAATCGCGTTAATTGGCAGTGATAAAATAATTATTGAAATATCTTTGGCTATTAAAACACGTGTGCCGTGCAAATGTGCAATATATTATTATAAATCGTCTGGTACAATACGACTACTAACGTCACAACCTTATCCGTTCTGCAAACGTAGAACTTGGACAATTTGCGTTCAGGAGTTCCGATTTTGTGTTTTATCTTAATATTAATTAGAGTGAGTTGATGACCACATATCATCAAAGTAAAAGGTGGGAAAATTGTCCGTGTTCTTTCGTTGTTTTTAAATATTAATATTTTACATAGGTACTCATAACTTGCTTAAAAATTTAAATATCGTAAAAAACAAACGATGTCCCTACCTTTAACTTACACTTAACCTACATATCTTATAGTTCTATATTAAATTTAATATTTAATCTAACAAGAAATTTGAACATAAATGTCTGTATACCTGTATGTCGTAGTAATAAGATATATAAGACCTAGACAACATAAGCAAGTATAAGACTTCCTCTTAATTATGATCATATAAAAGTATAAAGCCCATTTCAATATCAATGCACTAAGCTACATAAAATAATTGCAATATATTTTATGCAGGTAAATTGAGTGTTTGAGTGTACATTCCGGGATAAATTGCAGTATTCGCGAGTTTATTGTATAGGTTACCTGTGTGCGTTTATGAGCCCCACATATGGTAATAAAACAGTCATGCGAAACTCGATCGAAAGCAAACGCATAAACGAGACGTCGACACTTCAATAAACATATTATGCCATATGCGGCTTGATACGACATCAATTTAATTAAAATATGCATATTTTATAGCGTAACCATATAGGCCTATACCGCG